TCCATTGACGTCGACCTCCTACGAGTTTTCTCTCTCTCTCTCTCTCTCTCTCTCTCTCTCTCTCTCTCTCTCTCTCTCTCTCTCTCTCTCTCTCTCTCTCTCTCTCTCTCTCTCTCTCTCTCTCTCTCTCTCTCTCTCTCTCTCTCTCTCTCTCTCTCTCTCTCTCTCTCTCTCTCTCTCTCTCTCTCTCTCTCTCTCTCTCTCTCTCTCTCTCTCTCTCTCTCTCTCTCTCTCTCTCTCTCTCTCTCTCTCTCTCTCTCTCTCTCTCTCTCTCTCTCTCTCTCTCTCTCTCTCTCTCTCTCTCTCTCTCTCTCTCTCTCTCTCTCTCTCTCTCTCTCTCTCTCTCTCTCTCTCTCTCTCTCTCTCTCTCTCTCTCTCTCTCTCTCTCTCTCTCTCTCTCTCTCTCTCTCTCTCTCTCTCTCTCTCTCTCTCTCTCTCTCTCTCTCTCTCTCTCTCTCTCTGGATCACGCAGTTGCTGGTAGGGAAACGAACAAGTGGAACAGAGGGAAAGAGACAGAGAAAGCGGATAGCAGATGCACGATAGTCGCGTATACCACGCACGCTAATACATAACAGAGTCGATACGCGTTTATTTCTGCCCTGGCGTTATTTGTGGCAGCACGATAGCGCGACCGACCGAGGAAAGAGGAAACGCATACGAGATCCTCGCGAATAGAATAGACATTAATTAACCCCTTCGCGGACAACTACACGCGTTCGCATTATGCTACTATATTATTACTACAGCGTGAATATTTCTACCCGCTGCAGAATCTACCGACAATTCGTGTATTTTTAAAATCCGACGAATGCAGGCGAACGACGTTGTCTCGAATGAACGAAATTCAAATTCTCGTCCGGCTTGAAATATGAGAAAAAATCGATGGTCCGTAATACTCGACGCGTCACGGCCGTTTTGTCCATCGAACGATTATTGCTTCCTTCGATCGAATCGAGAGCAGCAAGTTGCCGTGCCGTATCCGAATCGAAAGCTCGAGAGCCGGTTTTCCCCACGATCGACAAAAGCGCGTAGCGGAAAAATCAGCTCGCGACACGGTGACCCGTCCTCCTTTCGCGCCGAATGCTCCCTCGTCGCGACGAAAGAGACGCGAGACCCGGGAGGGAGCTGTATGTGCGACCTCGTGCACACGATAAACCGCTGAAAGTAGGGAGAGACCGGTAAAAAAGCGCGCGACCGAGCAGCCACCGCACGCTTTTCGACTGTACACGGCTCGAACTGTCGCCGAGAGGCCCGGCGCCGCGCCGCTGCGAAACGAACGAGCGAGCGAGCGAGCGAGTCGACGATACCGAGCGCGGCGAGGGCATTGGCCTCTCGCGGTGCAATGGTGCAGTGTGCAATCGTGGCACGAGCGAAACAGCGAACGAGAGGAGAGTCGCGTGAGAAGAGGAAGGAGAGAAACGAGCATCTGCGCGAGCGCGTTCGCGTCGTCTGCCAAGCGATCCGCGAGCGGAACCTTGAAGCGCGGATCGCGTGTGGGTCGAAACGCGACGACCGAGAGGCCTCGCTATTTCCCGAATAAAAAAATCTCCTACTCGACTATTACAAACCCTTCGTGTGCTTTCAAGTAGCACCGAACTTCTTCTTCCAATCGATAAATTTCGCTGCTCGATTGTTCCATCGGCGTACGTCACCGATCGACTCTTTCGCATATTTTATTTCACATTGAAGTTACGGATCTTCTTTATGGAATCGTAGAAAACGAAGGGTGTATTTAAACGAAAACTTTATTTCGTAAAGATCGCTATCGTTTGCGTGAGGTAAAACGGGCCCAAGGTGGTTGAAAAAAAGGCAACTTTCCACGGACACGAATGTCGCGTATAACAAAATGGTAGGTCGGTGCGTGGCTTCGTACACGACACAGCAGCGTGCACAGCGCATGGACCTTCTGTCCTCCCGGTGCAGTGACGAGGATGGAAACTGGCCGTTCATGAAATATACAACAGACACGGTTCGAACTGGCTCTCTCGAGCGATCGACTACCGTGCACGATCACTGGTTCCAGCATCGACCGATGCTGAAAAAGGATAATCGGGATGAATCGAGTCCGCTCAACGTTTATTCGCCTCAAAGACTGCCACAGAAAGTGGACAAGAATTCGGCAAACTTGTCGCGCGTATCTCTGCAACGTATACATTTTTACAGGCATTTATTTACGCTCGATCGGTTACGAATATTTATGTTGGACAACGGCAATTTCACGTCGAGTATAAAAAAGCCGATAAAACGATTAATCTTCCGATTTTAAAGCAAAACGCGAAAAAGAAATTCGGCTTGCTAACCGATGACCATGATCTCTCGCCAACGGTCCGAAAAAGACGACTTTTCTTCTCCCTTTTGTCGGTTCCAGAAGTCTGGCGTTTCTTCCCACGAAGAAAGAAGCACAGTCCCGCGTTCTTGCTGGAACGCGTGAAAAACTCGTCTGGTCTCGACTGCCCTCCCGCTTCGGGGCTGTTTCTTATTTTACTTGCCTTTCTCTCTTATACTCTCGGTTTCGCCCATAAATTTATTCGGTGACGAAGGGAAACGACGATCTCGCGCGCGTGTCCGTGCTCCTTCGACGTCTCCTTTGGATTTTCTGCTTCGCCGCTTTCGATTCCTCGAAAAGTCGATACGGTTCCTTGTTGTACACGCGCAACCACCAATAACGATCGATGCGATCGAGAATGCGCTACGCGTTTGCTCGACAATCGGGAACAAGTTGGTTCGACCGGTATCTAATCGAAAATAGTTAAACACCGCTCGTCTAGGAAATTCCGAACTTGAAGTATGGCAAACTTGAAACGTTCGAAACTTGGTATATCATATATACGTATTTCGAGGTATCGCGAAGTTGGAATATTCGATAATCGAGGCGTTGCAGCGAACTCCGGGAAATACCGTAAACTTGTGTTCCCAAGTTGGGATACGACTAAGATGAAAGCCATTACGCCATAAATAGTAATGTCACCTTCCGTTAATACTTACGCGATATCGATAATATCTCTTGCCTCGAACAGTCGGTTATATCGTATTACCGCAAACGATCGTTTTCGTCTTCTCCTCTGAAAAACAACCGCTTGCCAGAAGCCGATATAGAAATATTTTCAGCTAGCAATCAGAAACGGAAGATTCGCGAGAGCGTAAAGCGGAAAATCTTCGACGAAGACAATGGACGAGGCGAGAGCGTAGGCAGCGGGCAACGGCGAAGACGGAGAGGTTTTATAGCAGCATCCATTATTAGAACGTGCCGATGCGAGCGCAGCTACTACGCTTCATAAATATAAATTCGAATGCATAATCGATGAAAGCGAACGCCTACCAAGGCGATGGCAACTGCATGACAAATGCACGGCCAACAGTAATTCTCGTTGTTTCGGCCGTACCACGATTTCCATCACGGGCCCGTATTATCCCTTAAAACCGTTGCAAACGGCGCGTCGACTCGATTGCTCGATTAAAATCGTAAGCGACTACGGCGTATAGCGTCGAAGCCATTGTAATTTCAAGAATCGAAATTTTAAAATCGTGATCGAAATAAAAAGCTTTCCGATTACAAATTACGCTCGAGTAACTTTCTGTTCCGTGGTATCGGACAGAACGTATAGAGATCCGTAGAGGCAAAACGTTGAAAGTTTCGGTGCATCGCGAAACATCGATCGAACTCGATGTTGATCGACTATTCCTCGTGGTTGGATCAACGTCCATGAAAGAACGCGTTCATGCTCTTTCGCTGAAAACGTCCGTGCTTCTCGTTGCGAGGCACAACTCTCTCGTCGCGCGCTAATCTCTTCGGATTTTTCATCGGAAAGGAGCCAGGCCACAGACGGATCATTGTCAGCTCGAGATCGCTTCCAAGGGCAAGTACGCGGTGTGCGGGACCGTGATTGCGCGTGACGGTGCATACGTGCATGCTCGTACCGTTTCAATACCGAGTTTTAACTTTAGCATCCTCTTTCCCGTTTTCCGCTGAAGAGCATCCCGCGGCGTTCTCCCCTCGAGCTCCGAGAGAAATTCGTCTCTCTGGAAACCGTGGCAACTCGAACGACTCTTTTTTTTTCGTTCCTTTGTACAATTTCAATTTCCTTCTCCTTCGAAACCGAAAGATTTTCGATTAAAACCGTCTAAATCGAAAAAAAACTTTGCACGCGTTCAAAATTTTTCAGCGAGTCGCGATAAAGTTTGCTCGAGACGCCTTAATCGAATTATCAAACGATTCGTCTTCTTCGTTCTAACTCGTCGAGTTTTTGTTCAAGCGGTACTGACACAATCAGGCGAAACAGAGTGAACGATGATACTTTATTTGATACGCGAATCGAGTTATAAAATAATCCATTTGTTCGTACGAAAGCAAATATATCGGAGAATTTAACCAGTCAGTTGTCATCTATGCCGAACGTGCCAAACTCTTGTTGAATCTCGGCGAAAGTCTTCCCCTTGGTCTCGACCATGCAGAATATCAGAAAGATCACGCTCAGCTGGCAAATTATGGCGAAGAAGAAGAACGTAGCCGCGTTTCCGACCGCCTCGGCCACGGTCGAATACGACACCGTCACCAAGAAAGCCAGTATCCAATTGAAGAACGCCGCGCTAGAGGAAGCTGTTCCCTTCAGTTTCGAAGGAAAGATCTCGCCCATGTAGATCCACGGTATTGGACCTATTTTTATCGGAACGTTAATCGACGTCGGAAAAAAAAAAAAAAACGAACGTTGTCTTCGATCTTTTCACCGTGGTGCCGTTGGAAATCGTTTGCGAAGTACATCGGTAATCGGTCCGCGGTGAAAGGGTCGAGAACCGGAAAAATTGGATGATCGTGATACTAACCGGCGCCAAGGGAGAAGGCCAAAATGTAGAGACAGGCAGACGTGAGCGGTAACCAAGAGAGGCTACCAGCCTTGTCGGGATCTTTGTTCTTCACGATAAAGAATATGCCTAAGGCTATCGTGCAGACACACATCACGCTCATGGATAATATCATTAAGAACCTTCGACCCAACTACAAAAACAACTTGTCCATTACATCGCGAACTTCGGTACGATTGAAACGCTGTGCTCGTTCCTGCTCGTTACGCGTTCTTGAAGATTATTATGAAACAACTCCGGTTGTAAACGCGCTCAAGATTCTTTTTAATCTCGAACGTATCGTACGTTACGTTTAGCCTTTAGAAAATAAAAGGATAGACTTAGCTAGATATAGACTTAGATAGACAGCTGAAAGTAAGGAAAGTTGCGATTCCACTCGAGGTGGACACACGGAGACATTCTGTCGCGGTCGAGCGAACGAACACAACGTTCGAGCCGGAGAAGGATGTCGATAAACACCTTGTCGATCAACGAGGCCGATACGACGCAAGCGATCACTTGGACCACCGCGAAGATCACCATCTGTAACAGGGAATCCATATCGACGCCGGTCTGTTTGAATATCGTCTCGGCGTAGAAAATGACCGCGTTAATCCCGCTGAACTGTTGCGCGAACATCATTCCGTAGGCAACCCCCATCGTCTTCAGCACCGGTTTCTTCAAGAACGCCGATAGTCTCACCTTCTGCTGCCTACTAAGCTGTACCTGTTCCTGTTGGCACATTTTAACGCGTCTGAAATACCTGAATGAAACGCTACGCAACCCCTGATCAACTAACTTTGAACGCCGCGATCTCTCCTTCTATATCGTAGTCCGGTCCACGAAAATATCGCATACTCTTCTTGGCGGATTCCTCGTCGTCCTTGAACAAATAGAAAAGGGGGCTCTCGGGCATGAATATCATGATGCAGGCGAACACGATGGGAGCGATGCCGCACAAGATCGATGTCCAGACGACGCTCCTGGTATAGCCGCAGCAGTAAGCGTACAAAATCCCGAGTACGATCAATAATTGAAAGAATACGCCCAGTGTGCCTGAACATAGATCGCGGAACATGGATCAGTCGAATTTTTTCGCGAGAGAAGCACCGTTGGAAATCGTTTGCGAAGTACATCGGTAATCGGTCCGCGGTGAAAGGGTCGAGAACCGGAAAAATTGGATGATCGTGATACTAACCGGCGCCAAGGGAGAAGGCCAAAATGTAGAGACAGGCAGACGTGAGCGGTAACCAAGAGAGGCTACCAGCCTTGTCGGGATCTTTGTTCTTCACGATAAAGAATATGCCTAAGGCTATCGTGCAGACACACATCACGCTCATGGATAATATCATTAAGAACCTTCGACCCAACTACAAAAACAACTTGTCCATTACATCGCGAACTTCGGTACGATTGAAACGCTGTGCTCGTTCCTGCTCGTTACGCGTTCTTGAAGATTATTATGAAACAACTCCGGTTGTAAACGCGCTCAAGATTCTTTTTAATCTCGAACGTATCGTACGTTACGTTTAGCCTTTAGAAAATAAAAGGATAGACTTAGCTAGATATAGACTTAGATAGACAGCTGAAAGTAAGGAAAGTTGCGATTCCACTCGAGGTGGACACACGGAGACATTCTGTCGCGGTCGAGCGAACGAACACAACGTTCGAGCCGGAGAAGGATGTCGATAAACACCTTGTCGATCAACGAGGCCGATACGACGCAAGCGATCACTTGGACCACCGCGAAGATCACCATCTGTAACAGGGAATCCATATCGACGCCGGTCTGTTTGAATATCGTCTCGGCGTAGAAAATGACCGCGTTAATCCCGCTGAACTGTTGCGCGAACATCATTCCGTAGGCAACCCCCATCGTCTTCAGCACCGGTTTCTTCAAGAACGCCGATAGTCTCACCTTCTGCTGCCTACTAAGCTGTACCTGTTCCTGTTGGCACATTTTAACGCGTCTGAAATACCTGAATGAAACGCTACGCAACCCCTGATCAACTAACTTTGAACGCCGCGATCTCTCCTTCTATATCGTAGTCCGGTCCACGAAAATATCGCATACTCTTCTTGGCGGATTCCTCGTCGTCCTTGAACAAATAGAAAAGGGGGCTCTCGGGCATGAATATCATGATGCAGGCGAACACGATGGGAGCGATGCCGCACAAGATCGATGTCCAGACGACGCTCCTGGTATAGCCGCAGCAGTAAGCGTACAAAATCCCGAGTACGATCAATAATTGAAAGAATACGCCCAGTGTGCCTGAACATAGATCGCGGAACATGGATCAGTCGAATTTTTTCGCGAGAGAAGCAGTACAGAAGGAGCGCTGTTGCGAGCTCGTTATTCGACGCGATTACGAAGTAAATAAAATCGCCTCTCTAAATGGAAGCAACTGAAAAATTTGAAATTCCAAAGAAATACAAATCGATACAAGTACAACTTACCACTTAGAGTGGTTAATAATAAACAACTACTTTCTAGGCTGAAAATTCCAATAGGGTTCGATAACGTTATATCAATTCGTACGCGTTAAAATTCGAAAAATACGTTTTCTGTCGAGTATATCGTTTCGTTCGAAGTTCAAGCGGCAAATCGATACGTCTCGAGCGCTATTAGGTCGATGCATCGTGAAACTGCGCTTTGAAAATAACCAATCGTATACGACGATCGTACCTCTGATCTGCTTTTCGCAGATCTCGGCAGTGTACATAGGCGCCGCGACGCAAAACATGCCGCCACAGGCGCCGGTTATCAGTCTACCAGTGACCATTAATCCCATCACGGATACGGAAGAAGCGATGAAGATCCAACCGAGGACAAAGGGTGGCACCAGCACCATCATCGTCCATTTTCGACCGATCTTGTCGATCAAGAAGGGCACCGTGATTAAGCCGAGGGCTGCACCCAGCGGAAACACCGATGCCACCACGTTTGTCGAGAACACGTCGTACTTGTACTTGCTCTTCAACAGTTCGACGACAGGTGCGCTCCAACCGAGGCCACATCCCAGCGAGAATCCACCCATGCACGCTAGCAAATCATCGAAATTCGTTGAAATCGTTAAACCGTTCGATCCATAGGCTGCACAACAACGATAGGTTACATGACCGGTCGAAAAGCGAACCGGTTACGCGCGAATCTCGAACGCGACACGAAATTTCAAGAAAAAAGGTCAGAGAACCTGCTACCGCAGCGATACATTGAGGCAATCTTCTCTTGAGCAGCTTCTTCCAGTCTTTGTTACCAGAGTCCGTCATTCTTCGCTAGAAACTTGCCTTCGGTATAACGCACAACCGTTTCTCGTGTTCGTTCCACTGTTTCTCTGGTCGAAACGAATAATCGATATTTAGGATACGTCGCGGTTCTTATCGATGCATACATTCGTATCGTTGAGAGGAGATTTATTATTTTCCCTAGATTCGCCTTGCCCCGTCATTTAATCGATAACTCTCGCGATGCCCACGTAACAAGAATCTACTGTACCAACGAGCAACATATCGCCCCCATCTCGTTGCGAACGAATACGAAACCTTCGACGACGATGGAGCGAGAAAAGAAAGAAAAGGATCGCCGCGTCCTAGGTTGACAAGCCGTTTTCGCGGTCCGGTAAAGCTCGATCGGATAGGAAGTCTCCTCCTCGAGGGCGATACCTGCGCGCCAGAGGCCGGTATCGTCGACAAACTAGGAGAGGAGGTGACGAGGAGGCGGTAATAGGGATAAGGTCCCTTCCTCACGCCCGGTTACTTCGGCTAACGACATTCAAATTCCATTAGGGCAGCGCGATGTGCGGCTGACAACTTTCGGATTACAGATCGGCCCTCTCTTTCTCTCGGCCCCTCGACTCCGCGTTAAAAGAAAGAGCACCCTTGTCGAGATAATGGCGGCGAGAGAAAGCG